TTGGCCATTGGGCTAGAGGTTATGTGTGTTATACGCTGGCAGGATATTTGTCTACATTTTGCCCATGTCATGAGACTTTGCAAGGGATTGAGTGAGCTAAATAATTTGGTGGAAGAAATTTCAAGGAAGCCTATCATTCAAGCTGTGAACTGGATACTTCTGGCTGCTTTCAGGGAGGTTTACAGTGAGAATCAGGAGCAAAAATCCAATTGAAAACTTTAGAGTTTCACCAGGAAGGAAGAACCTGAACATGTGAAGCAAAGGAGAATGTGATTGCTGAAAAAAAAATTCGTATTAAAAAGAAACCAAGTATTTTTCATCAGAACAACAGTACAGATGGCTTAAGTGCATCTCAGAAATCAGCAGACTCTACTTTTTACTGGATCAAGGATGTAAAAGGGTAAAGGTAAACTCCTTTGAAAGATTGCTTTGAGAAGAGAGCTCCAGGGTGCCGTACTCCAGAAGGCCACCTAGGGAACTGCTTCCTTGGCATTTGGTTTACAGTACTCAGCCATTCAAGTGCTCCGAGGTCTTTGCAGCCACCATCCAAGGAGTCCTGGGTACTGCTTGAGGTCGTGGCCGGCCTTGACATCATCCATGTGGTTCTGGATTTATAGGCATGCTGAATGCAAGACTTGTGGGGTCAGGGAGGATTCCATCCAGATTTTAGAAGAAGGCATGGAAAGCCAGGGAGTGTGCCACTGAAAGGATAGTGAAACTGTGAGAGTGAAGCCAAAACTTCAGTGGAAACCACAGGAAGTTAGAGAAACCAGATACATGGAATGTCTGCTAAGGAAAACTGCAGGGAGTGAGTGGATCTGCCCCAAGAGAGAAGCCATGAGTACTGTAACTGGCAGTGCTATAGGGGCAGGTCTACCCAGGCTCTTTAGAGGTCACACCTCACCATAACGTATCCCAAGTGCGGGACCTGCAGCTAAGGGATTTAATGTTTTCCCTAATATGTTTTGTTCTTGCTTTGTTCTAATTTTTAAATATCCTTACGTCTTCCTTTTATATGTAGAAAGTACTTACCTTTCTTTTTGATTTTTCCAGAGGCTCATGGCTATGAGTTTGCCTTGGGTTTCAGAAGGCACTTTGGAGTTGGATCTTTCAGTTATGCCAAAACTATTGAAACCTGAATGATTCTTAGAGATGGACTAAATGTATTTTGCATAAAAAGATGGAGATAGGTCTTTTGGGGACCAGAGGTGGAATGTTATGGTTTAGATCAAAATATCCCACCAAATTCTTAGATGTGTAGAAAGTGACTAGATCATAGGGGCACTACAGCTGGCTTGCTGTTAGGAGGTGGAGCTTACTTGACAGAGGCAAGTCACTGGAAGTGTGTCCTGGAAGAGTACATCTTCTTCCTTAGCTTCCTCATCCTCCCTACCTTTTCTACTTCCTGGACACCAAGACAGGAGCAGCTTTCTTCTGTCAGCTCCTTCTACGATGTCCTTTCAGTTTGGAGCCAGCTGACCATGGACTGAAAATATGAGGCAAAATAAGCCCTTTCTCTTTTAAATTGTGGGTATTGGGTATTTTGCCCCAGAGGTGAGAAAGTGACTAAGGGAAAATGACTATGACACTAACAATCTAACAACCTGAGAACTTTGTCTCTGCTTAGTTCCTTCTGCAATTTGTTACTATTGAACTGTATTTTAATTATATATTTAAAACTTTATAATATATTGTAAGTGTTTTATATAATTGTTTATATATTCTTACCTACATGTTTACATTGTCCAATGTTCTGTCTTTCTTGCCTCTTTTTTTTTTTTTTTTTGACCACCTGGAATAATTGTCTTTAGCCTTTAAATTTCTTACTGTTTATTTTCTTTCTTTCTTTCTTTCTTTCTTTCTTTCTTTCTTTCTTTCTTTCTTTCTTTCTTTCTTTCTTTCTTTCTTTCCTTTCTTTCTTTCTTTCTTCCTTCCTTCCTTCCTTCCTTCCTTCCTGCCTTCTTTTTTTTTGTACCGGGGATTGAACTCAGCACCTTGTGTTTGTGAGGCAGGCAGCAGCACCACTGAGCTAAATCCCCAGCCCTTAATGTATATTTTTTTCTTCTAGCTTTTTTCTGAAAATGTCTTTTTATTTTGCCTTCATGTTTCATTCAATAAAAAATTCTTAGAATGGCAGTTACTGTGCAACAGCATTTTAAAGATTCAATTCCATTGTCTTCTGACTTTCATCACTTTAATTGAGAAGTCAGTCTCAATTTCTTATAGCACTTTGGCTGCAATGCCTCTTTTCTTGGATTGATTTAAGTTTTTGCTGTGTAACTTTTAACAGTTTTACTATTGTGTAGCAATTTTAGTATCATGTACATACTGATGTATTTCTTGTGTCTTTACTGGTTTTAGTTCATAGTTTTCTTGTGAGAATAACATCGTTTACCAATTTGGAAAGTCACCACAACCACTGCCTTTTCAGTTTCAGCCCATTCTCTTCCCTTCCCAATAAAGGACAAAAGGACATGACATTACTGTACATACATTCAAACTGTCAACATGTCCTTTACCTCTCATCCACTCATCTCTACATTTTTCATCGTTTTTTACTCTGCGCTTCTGTATGGATATTTTTCTGATACAGTTTCCATTGCACCTGTGTTTCCTTCTGTATATCTAATCTGCTACAAACATATTTTTATGTTTTTAAATTCAGTCATTAAATTCAGTTTTAAACTTTTTATGTGGTTATTTTATTTATAGATTCAAATTCTCTACTGCAATTCTCCTGCCAATTTTTTTGTTGTTGTTACCTCTGGCTCTTTCCTTTCTTTACTTCTGTAGTTTTTACTCTAGGCTTTCTAGTAGTCATTTTGTGTTTTTTCCTTCACACTCAATAATTCTGAAAATTATACAGGAAAGTGCAGAGAGTATAAGGCCATGAATGATGGAATCCTTTTGCTGTGGTGAGGCCTTAGTTTTGCAGTTCAAAGGAGATAGAAACATGGCAGGTAAATTAAGTCTATAGTTTGTTTGAAGAGATTAAAATGAAGATTTCAATCTTAGTGAAGATTAGCCTCTCTCTGTTGCACTCTTCTCTATGGGCAGGAGTTGGCAAACTTTTTCTCATGAAGACCAGATAGTAAACACTTTAGACCTTGTGGACTTGTAGTCCCTGTGGCAACTGCTCAGCTCTATGTTTATAGCATTGAAACATTCAGGAACAGTGTAAATTAGTTGGTGTGAGTGTGCTCTGATAATACTTTGTCTATAAAAACCAGAAATTAGCTAACCTTGACCTCCGGACTATAGTTTACCAATTCCCATGCTAGGGTGTAGTATGCCATCTCAAAACCCAGATATGTAACTAAGATTTCTTCTGTGCAGAAAGCCTAAACTCCTGTCTTTGTTCTCAAAGTCTTGTGAAATTATTGTTAGCTCTGCTACACTTCTCAGCCTATTAGCTTACTACAGTTTGTGAATTAACAAATATCTTGAGGGGAAAAGCATCACCAAATGTTGTGTTCACTTCTCTGTACTCACCTTTTCTCCAGAATCTTAGCTTCTAAGACTATCATCTGTGAAACTTCCTGATGCTCTTGCATATTTATTGTTCCTGTTGTCATTTTTTTTGCCTGTTTGTTTTAGTAGTATTAAGGATTGAACCCAATACGTGTTAGGTTAGTACTCTACCAGCTATATCTTTAAGCCTTGTTATTGCTCCATATAACATTTTTCCTTTTTTCTGTTACAAATAGTCTATCCAAACCAGAAACAGATGAAGTGTCTTTTCTGAAGTTTAAATTAACCTTGGCTTTAATAGAAAGTGGAAAAGTCACCTTTATATTTTGGATTTGATGCCAGAAGTTGTTAGACTACATGGTATATACTCAAATTCAGTTGGCTACCCTCTATACCCTTAAATGATCATTTGAACTGAGTACACATTTCTCTGCATGTGAAGCTGTTCTTCTCTTTTTTTGTTGTTGTTGTTCTTATAAAAAATAAACTTCTTAATGACTCCCCCAATATTCCTTTTTTGTTGTTGCTTTTGTTTTAAGACAGAGTCTTCCTATGTAATTTAGGCAGGCCTTGGACTCACTATGTAGCCCAGGCTGATAAGCACCTTGACCTAACAGAGATCCTCCTGCCTCAGCCTCCCAAGTGCTGGGATTATAGGCCTGTGCCACCACGCCCAGCACCAACATTCCTTTTCTAATTTATTCTTTACATGATATTCAGAGTAAGTCTCATAAAACATAAATTTGAGCCTGTTACTTCTCCTTAAAATTGATGTTTGGGAAGGTCCTTCATGATGTGGACTTTATCTACCTCTCCAGACTAATTTTTAAACGTGTCTCCCTAAAACCATATTAACAAATTACTTTGTAATCTAAACTTTTGCTTTACACCCAGTTTGTGAATCTTTATAATTAGGTAATAGCAAATTCTTCTGAAATTATGTATGGTCCTTGAAAGTTCAGAAACAAGTTTCGGGTTAACCACTTTGTCAGATTACTTAGTCGTTTGTGATGGAATTATATAGTGATTTGGTTGTGAAAAGGAGGAAGTGTGTATTTAAAATCAGTAATACAACGAATGGAGAAAATAGTCTGTGTAACCTCTTAAAACGAATCTTGAAGAATACATTTCTACATAGTTTACACTCATTTTCATTTTGAGAGCATTTAAAACCTACATGTGCTGGGCGTGATGGTACACACCTGTAATCACAGCACTCGGGAGGCTGAGGCAGGAGGATCATTGTGAGTTCAAAACCACCCTGGGCTACATAGTGAGTTCCAGGTCAGTCTCAACTACATAGTGAGACCCTGTCTGAAAACAAACAAACAAACCAAAAACCTACATGTATCATGTTTGTGTGTTTGCATGGGTGGTTTGAGAAAGCTGTCTAGGAACTCTGGGCCATAAACATGCTAGGGCCAGATATGCTGCAGAGATTGATGCCTGCAGCACAGGAGAGCTGATTTCCTGGCACTGTCTCCCGGCTGGCTGGAAAACTCAGGGGCAATTTTGTTCATGCCTTTCAGGCAGCATCCTTTTCAAGTGGATGACTATGGATCCAGAGAAGATCTCAGAGATGCAGGAGGATATTCTGTCCATCCTGGAAGAGAAGTTTCCTAACTTGCCTCCAAGAGAGGACATCATCAGAGTCCTGCAGGACACCCACTCCAGTGCACATGGTGAGTGGCTCTGTCCGCAGTGCTCTGTCTGCTTTGAGTAGGGGTGTTTCCCACAAAATTGCTTGTGGAAGGTTTTTCAGGTTCATGGTGTTTGTTCATCAGAAAACAGCCATCCTGTTCCATGCCTCTCCTCCAAGGCCCTGGTGTCTGGTTGTGGTGAATTCTTGAGTTAATGTATATCCCAGATACATCATTACCTGCAATCCTTGTGTTGATGGAGTTCTATTATGAGAATATGGCAGGAGCAATGTCAAGCACAATGGGATTTTGTAAATCAGTTAATCCTAGAAAGAAATGAGAGAGATGAAGCTGGTGAAATTATTTTCTAAGTGTACATTTTATCAGAGCAGTGAATATCCTGGGTCAACTGTTTCATAACACATAGATATGGTTCATCAGATGCCTACTTTACACGGGTCCTGATGGTATAATTCTGCAAGGATGATCTTCCTGAGTCCTCATATCCTGCAGTCAGGTGCCTTTTGATCCTCATTTTCCAAATGAGAATACTGGGCATAGAAAGACTTTTTTGCTTTCCTAACAGCAAACACACAGCCAGTGAGTAGACAGACCTGGATCCTGACCCAGGCCATCTATCTTTAAGGTGCAAGCATTAAATGACATGATTTTCTCCTTTACTTTGGTATTCCCCGGGAGCAAAGCAGTTTACTGGGAGGTGATCCCAGACAACAGCGATGAGAATGGAGTGCTTTATCAAGCACATCAGCTTCGTGGGAGCAGAGCTGAATCCCACTAGGAACCCAGAGAGGCTGTAACACTGCCCTTCCAGGTGATCCCACCTAAAGGGCACAGTGATGTGCAAGGATGTGTTCACTATAACCCCAAGGGCTGTGGTTACATTTCCAGGAAGTAGGGTGATGCTAGACTGGTAACTTGAGATCAGCCAAAGTAGGAGTGTGCCATCACTAAATCTGTCAAACATCGCGAAGCAGATCAGGTTTTATTGGCTGTCAGACAGCATTAATTCCCCAAAGTAGGTTCTGGTGGCCAAAGAAAGGTTTCAAGAAAAGATACAGGTGCTGATGGCCCAGCATTGTGCTGGACACTCTGAGGAGGGGGAACCCGAGGAAGTGAGAGCAGGGCACACACAGTGCCCACCACGCCTCTACTTATCTGTGCGCATAGTGCGTGTGTGTGGGCATGTAGCTTTAAATGCTTAATGTCACAATACACCTTATAAATCCCTGTATGCTGCAGTAGGAAAACGGGTGGTCTTTTGATTAGCTAGTCAAAGAAAAATGTTTAGTACCTGCCTGTTCCCCGACACTGCTGTGATGGACAGTGTTCCAAGTTGGAGCAGGCGGTCAACTTAGACGTCTTCACAGGCATCTTGGGAGGTTATGTGTGCTCTACTAAGCTCTGTTGTGGATCTTCTTCCAGGATGGGAGGCCTATTCAGACGTAATAATGTAGTGTGATAATTACAGGCTGAGCCAGACCTTTCCCTCATTTGCTGAGGTAGATTTCATGAAGTTCTCTGGTCAGCTGACTGTGACTATGCAGTTTTGAGTCATTCAGCCATTTCTCCCATCAATTAAGGAATTCTAGGATCCTTTTTGGCAGAGCCCATCACAAGCCTTGCCAATTCAATCGTGATAGCTTCATGGACCACATTTATAAGTATGTTTTGAATAAAATTATGCTATAAATTATAAAGTTATAGGAGCTCACCTAAGTGCACCCTAAAAGCACATTTTGGACTCATTTTTATGGTTATACTCGCTTTTCTTCATTTTACCACCCTCCACCTGTTCCCTTCCTCCACTTCCTGTGGTGGATCTTGGACCTTGAGAGGCAGGACCCTGAGTATTTCACTTTCTGGGCTCCCATGACACTTGCTTCCGTTGGATTTGGCCACTGGGGGCAGTTAGCAGCCCAGGGAAAGTTGTTAGAGGGAAGGAGAGGAACACAGCTGTAGCACTTCCTCCCTGTTTCCTGCCTGCTTTGGTGATAAGTTTCTGGTGTTCAGATCCTCTTCTCCAACCTCAGCTCTCTCCTTCCTTTGTCCCCTTGCTAGTCTCTGAATACCTCACCATCTTTGATTTGCTTTATTCAGTCCTGCTCAGATCTCTGTGAGGAAGCTGCCATTATGGAACCTTTGTCTGCACCATGAGTGGGGAATTCTCTTTCCTCCTGGATCTTACTGATGCAGATATTGTCCCAAATGCGGTCATTGTCTTGGTTTGTGTGTGTTTCCTATGGATAAAAGTGATATTAAAGTATAAAATAATGAAATTAATATAGCAATTTCTTTAAATAATATCTTGATATTATAAAAAAAGTTTCCCAAGTATAACAGTTTTCCCCCTGTTGTCCACAGGTTTAAGTACTGAGCAAACAATGTTGAGAGACCTGAAGGAACTGTCAGATGGAGAAATAAAAGTGGCCATCAGTGCTGTGGACATGAACCTTGAGGTAAGGGGGATACTTTTTCAGCAATGACAGATTTGCAAACTGCAGTCTGAGCACCTGCAATACAACTTTCTCTACAGCGTAAGTCACTGTTAGTCTTTTGCTGGGAACGCTTCATTGTGGCATAATTGACTTGGAGTGGAGGTTATTATTTGAAATAAAAATACTCTGCTAAGTTGATGAAAATGCTAAACCCACATTCGCAGGATGTGTGCTCTTTCATTCATCTCAGTAAAACCGAGCCTAAAACACAGTCACATTTATCTGTGTGCTCAGACTGTTCTAGTAGCGGTGATATGTGACTGGGTCTACTTCAACGTTTTCCCTTTACTGAAAAATTGTCTTCGGCCTTTGTAAACTATTTGGACACATACTGTTTTCATAGTCAATGGTGATGACTCAAATATCAGGAGGGACCCTCCTTCTAATCTATTAAGTGAATGACTCCATGTGAATGCTGTTCTTGTCTTTGTGTTTTTCCTTGGTAAATTATCTTCTGTCTACTTTGAGGGTTTTCAATGACTTGTATGTTAATCTTAATTAACCCAACTAATAGGAGCTGTATTTTATAGAGGCACATGTGTGCCTTTGCAGAAGTCTGCATTTCTTTACCCTTCTGCTGCCTTGGTCAAGCTGCCTGTCTTTAGTGGAGGCACCTAGCTCTTGCCTCAAGTGTACGGGACACAGTTTTCTGTGTAGCGATATGTCTTTTGATTTTTAGAATTGTATATTACTATTCTCTGTTCTCATGATGATGGTGACTATGTGAACATGTACATTTCTGGGAAACAAGAGGTGTGTATAATGAGGTCCACACCCCAGCACACCCTACAGCAAGCCAGGAGCTCTTCTCCTTGATCTCTTTGTAAAATTTATTTTTGACTGAGTAACATTGTAATTCAGCTCATAGATCTCTGTGAGTACCAAGAGGTGGACTGTTGTCATGTTATGCAGAGTCTCATAGCTTACAGAGCTCATTTTTATTGTATTCAGTTGGTAGAGTGACTCAACTGTTTCTAGGGATTCTCAGATTGGTAAATGCTGCCTATAATTAGGTATGGATGTGAATCAAGACAAGAAATACATGCAGTTTGAGCTGTGGTAGCTAGATAAACACCTTCAATTAGAAATCTACTTTGTGCCTTGAAACCCAAGGAAAACATGGATCTTGCAAGGGTCAGTAGCTCTGAGAATCATTTCTACTAGTTCAAGCCTAAGGGTTTTCATCTTCCTTCTCCCTCCCCAGTCTCACTTCATTTAATAGCATCTTATTAGGTTTTAAATGCCTTGTTTGGAATTCCTCTCTAAATTAACGCAGAACATCTTGTAATTGCTTAGGGAACTGTCTGTAGTTAGCAAATTATTTTAAGGCTATTCATATTATAGAGTTACTGTAGCTTTAATGTACCTTCATTTATATTATGGCGATATACAAATAGCTTTGCCAGATAGGTTAAACTGTGAATGTTTATCAAGCAGAATCAGTGATATAACTACCATCTTAATCCTGGTAGTAATTTACATAAGGGGTCCAGCAATCAATCAGGTGGTTAAGTAACTCTCTGGAAGCTGCTATATGGTATGGTCTTCTGGGAGGAGGACCGAAGGATATTTGTGGGTGTGTGTGTGTGTGTGTGGGTGTGGGTGTGCGCGTGCATGTGTTAAGAAGGATCCACAGTTCAAACTCTAATCAATTGAATGAGAGTTGAATGGGGATATTAAGGGCAGCTGAGAAACAGCGGGAGGACTCCTTAGTAGTATTGGAAAATGCACATTATTTACCCAGTCTGTTGGGTGGAGAAAAATCCCACAGTTAAGGGCAGAATTTGGTTTTCTTTACAGACCACCCAGTCCCTACTCACTTCTGATCCCACTTGAGCATTCTTTTGCATTCCTCACTTCAGCTTAAAAATAATGATAGAATCTATAATTTCATCTTATATATTTTGGAGCAGTTGTATAATTGCCCTTTAAACCTATTTTGTAAATCTTGTCTGTACTGCAAAGCATGACCCACAGGCACTTCATGATAACTCACTTTCTACCACCACCCTCTGAACTCTTACAGGATTTAGTCTAGGTGACAGACTTAGCACTTAAATGTGTGTTGTGTCTCCTGTCAATTTTGAACTTGTTTCATATATTTAACTCCAGTTATATTTTGAGTTAATTGAAGACAATAATGCTATCATCGACATCAGTCTTCCTTCAATTTTTGGCACAGTACTGGACAAAATAGTAGGTGCTTATTAAACATAAATATTTATGTTACTACATATTCATGATCTCAGTTTGCTCCCGTGATATATAATTTTTATCCTTTTGATTTTAAATTTTAAAAATGCCTCCCTGAGCATCTAGAACAACCTACTTCCCTTCCAATTTGTTTTTTTCAGACACGACTGAAAGCTGACATCAGAAAGACAAAAAGTGCCCACATATTTATGGATAGTAACACCCGGCTGTCAGACAATGGTGTGGGCAGCTTTGGGAAGTAATTATCTGTTGAAACCAGAAGAGATCAACCTGAGGAACATCAGGGAAAAGGGAAAGCAGACTTCTTACATTTTCAGTGGTCTGCTGTAATGCTGTAATTTCACACTTCTATATGACATGGCCTCTACTTGACCAAATTAATTTAATTGTCTTGGATTGAAATATTTAGAAAATTAAAAGGATTCATTTCATGCACAGCATGGTCTGCAGAAGAAACCATAGATTTTGATGGTAGAAACCTTAGCCTAGGACAGATAGGTGAACTCTAGCCCTCTACACGATAAGGAGAAAGTTTTCAAACCCTTTGCCTCTCATTTTTATTGAACTATATCTTGCAAAGGATCGTTGTGCCCTAAACAAGGTTGTATAATATTAGTTATGGGATGAACTACTATAAAAAGGGAATTATTCTGGGCTGGGGATTTAGCCGAGTGGTTCCACTGTCTGCTTTGTAAGCACAAAGTCCCAAAGTTCAATCCCCAGTATGGAGAGAGAGACAGAGAGAGAGAGAGAGAGAGAGAGAGAGAGAGAGAGAGAGAGAGAGTTATTCTAATAATGTGGAGTTTCAGTACTTTGCACCATGCATGAAGATGAATTGATGGTGATCTTGAGCAGTGACGGCCTTACTTGAAGTCAGGGCGCAGTTCCTCTCACAGAGGGGATTGTTGGCAGCTAGGGTCATGGGAAAGACACCAAAGTTCCATTTCAAGTCCAGATGCTGTGGGCCTCACAAGTGGAATCCACACTGCTGCTTACTATTGTGCTGACCCTCTGAGCCCTTCTTTTTGCTTGCTGATTTGGCAACCAGAAGCGAATGGATGGTCTCAAAGCACCATCAAAGACCGTTGATGGTCTGGCACTGGAATGAACTTTGCCCTATTCCTTTGGGAACAGAACTGGTAGTGGTTCTACTTCTTGGGCCTGGTTTGTTCCCTGATAAAGCAGTGTGTTGCATGTTAAGGGGAAAGGGAGCATCTAATATGAGGACACTGAAGCACCTGAGGCTACTCATAACAACACCAAATAACAGTTCTTGGGGTGACACTGAATGTTGCTCCATCTCCTTTAAGCATCTCAAAGAAAACTGTGAGTCACTCATATCTTTACAGGAAGGACACTAACCAGGCCCAAGAAGTAGAACCACTACCCGTTCTGTTCCCTTTAACCAGAACATTAGTCATGCTGTCACTGGCTAGTGTGACTTCTTGGCTGTATGTAGGATGAAAATTTAGCGTGAGTTGACTCTTGAGCCTGCCTATAATGTCACCATTATCTACTTTCTTCAGGTTCCTTTGAAGGGGAACATCTCCCTATCAGCTTCTAGGACATTGCTGATCAACTGAGAGGTCTTGCTCAACTTGTATAGAGACCACACACTGGCAAAGTGTAGCTCTTGCAGTGTTAATAGTGCTGGGTATTTAAAGCCAGCAGCCAGTGGATCAATGGTAGAGCCCTTAGTTACCCCTGGGAGCCAGGATCTACCAGCAACTCTTGGGTGCTCATCTGTTGTTCTCTATGGTTCTCCATTGTTCTCTGCTACCTACCAGCTTCTGTTACCAGCCCAGTTACTGGTGCTTTGGCTCAGGCAGCCTTTAGTGTTATCAGCTACTAGAGGACTCGCTCAGCATGCTAAACCGGAGATAGAAATCACAAGTAGGCAAGAATATGGCATCCAGAAGAGGCTTTCTTAAGGCTTACAATGTAGCACAAGGGGGAACAGTACATGGGATGAACCTAAAAAGGGTATGGGAAGGCTGCTTGTAAGGAAACAGTTCAGGCTAACACAGGCATAGGGTCCGACTTTCTGTCTGGTCACGGATAGAGGAAGGACCCCTCCCAGACCTGACTGATGAGGGCTACAGATGGGTGCGACTATCCAGAGGCTGCAGGGTGAAGGCGTCTGGGAGAGACCCATGGCTAAAGCTTGTTCCAGCTAAAACCAGGAGTACCTCATGCAGTGTAACCAGCTAAAAGGCATTTGAGGCAGCCTTTGTTTGAGGCAGTACCTTTCAGGGAGCATCTGGCCCTTCTCTCCTATCCCATAATGGATTAAAGTCCCCTAATAATTTCATCATAACTTATGACATCTATGTCAGTCTTATTTCCAAATACAGTCACATAGCTAGCAGTTCAGACTTCAACATTTGCATTTTAGGGGAACATAATTCAGCCCATGGCAAAATTTTCCAGACAACTTAAAATAATAAAACTTCTAAGACTGTCTATATGACCCTGTTGACTGCTCAGCCCATTTAACCCATTGCTGCCACATTTGATATTTCCAGTGTCTTTCCTGCTAATGAGGGACAATGAGGATTTTCAACTCAGATTTTGTCTCCGTTTAAAGCTAGAATCCAAAGCAATTGTTCAGTAGCTCAGATCTGTTTTCTATCAGGGCTGTGGGCTGCTCTTCTGCTGTGTTCTCAGCCAGGCCCGAGACTCTCTGCTGTGTGAAACCTGGAACAGAGTGCCCTTGGGCTGCATTCTTGTTGTAGAGTGACTCAGAC